TGACAGCATTGTGTATGGTGAGATAAAAGATACTTGAGATTTTGATGCTGACTTAGCCAGCTTATGTAAATGGCCAAAACTTTAATACCTGAAAAGTTATCACTTGGGAATTACTAATAAGGTTGCCCCCATTCCTGTAGTAAATTATCTCATGAATGCAATACAATACAATACAATACAATGTTCTTTATTTCGAGAGGGTAGGTACATGATTAACCCAGTAAAGAGTTTTCTAACACATGGCCCTCTAATAAATCCACCCAACCCACCCCAGGGGAGGACATCCATCACACAGTAATCTCGTGTGTGGGAAATTAACGTCTCCTACCCCAACCCTGCAGGAGACGGGACCTCCATTTATTCGTCCCTATCCGAGAAGACTAGAATATCTAACCATTTCTTGATGTTATAGAAAGGCAGCAAATTCTTCTCAATTATGTTAAGTGTTGGTGTTGGTCCGGCCGGGGCTCGAACCTCGACCTCCCGCACAACAGTCCAGCGCTCTATCCATTGAGCTAACCGGGAGGTAGCTTTGTAGCTGTAGAATGCAGCTTGCAGCAATAACATTCTTTTCTTCTTCTGCACGGCTCAGTTTCCTGTTGAGCAAACTCTGTGTTCTTTAGATTATTGCCTAGTATTTCTTAATTTTTTTAAAAATTTGTTGCAGTCCATCAGTATCCATTTGCGTGCAATAGACACTTTGTATGGAATGCAGTTCGTTGCTAAACATTGGGTGGCTGTCTTTACCGCTCTCAAATGAAGAAAAGTGATCTGTGCCAAAAATTTATCACATTTCTTGATTTGTAGCAGTCCATTTTCATCCATTTGCGTACAATATTCACACTGTAAATTGGAGAAAGTTTGTTGCTAAATATAGGGTAATTGTCTTAGACGCTAAAAATTTGAGGCGTCCAGCAAAAGCGCGGGAAAGTTTTGGCCGACCAAGTCACAGTTGGGTTACGTTTAGCTTCCGATTGGCTGAGAGGGTTTGGCGAGTTTTCTAGACCAATCACAGGGCGTAGTTAAGCAAGAGCAGTGCAGACCTGGATTCCTCTCGACAGTCTGTTTTAACTTTCTGGGTGCCAGCCTTTGTGACCAGGCCTGAAAGACTTGACGGCTTGCATTGAATTTGTTTTTGTATATTGAGATGTAATTGAAGCAAACAATCTACTCTTTTTTTTCTTTTTTTTTTGTATAGGTTTTGAGTGGAATTACATTAACAAAGTTTTCTGGGATCTTAGTACTTTACTTCTCCAAGTCTCAAATATTTCAGGTAAGCACTTTTCCAAACTCGCCAAAAAAAAACCTCTTTCGATGTCTTTCTTGTGAATGACATGCAATAAGCTCTTGCCTACGTGTCTAATGCTTCTACTTTTAACGAAGGTTAAGTGCGAAGCCCAGATAAAACACGTTTTCACCGTTAAGTTTTGCGCTGCTCCTCGTTTTGAAAGTGAGGATGCTCTAACGCTACTGAGGAGTAAAATAAAATACAGTCTTCCTAAATAATAAAAATACAGTCTTACTAAATGGCGACTAAAAGTTAAACTGCTGAGGATTAAACAAGAACTTTTAGAGCGGCATTAAAACTACTCTACTACTTTTTCAATCAGCTGTTAACTGAATCTTCTTGTTTTTTTTTCTTTTTTCTTTTTTTTTTTTTCTTTCTTTCTTTTTTTTTTTTGTTTTTTGTTTTTTCGACATCAAAGCTTAGGATAGGGGTACCTTTTCTATCCTAGCAAGAGGCTCATGTATAAAACAAAAAACTGAGTTACTAATGTAAATTGCCCACCGCAAAGATCTTCTAAGCCAGCGTTTCAAGCGTTAGCCCTTCGTCATTCGCTCTGGCAAAGGGCAAAGGCCTCGATACGTCAGCCTAGAAACTTTACGGTGGCCAATTTACTCAGTCATCTCAGTTGAAGAAACCAAATTATCTTGTAATACCCTGATGCAGTGCCTCAGTTTTTTCTTGTATAAAGCGCTTAAAAATAGATTTTAAAAGATCGCCCAGAGAAAACAAAACCAAAAGGCGAAAAAGAAAAAACACCAACAATAATTGAAAAAGTAAAAACAAAAACATCAACTGATTGAACTTAATAATGACTAAATAAAATGATTAAATATTTAGAACATTAAAAATTTTGATATTCCTTTCAGAGGCTTCACTTATTGAAAGCAGTAGAAACAATGATAAACCCCTCGCCCTCATTAAATAGTCGGGAACATATAATCTTCATAAAGCGTATCACTTTATATTCATAACCTCCACTGGTGGGACGCAAGCTAGTTGACTGTTTACAAGGGCGTAGTTAAGACGTAATACACAACACCGCAGAGAAACAAATCCATTTGGTTGGTCAGAACTGGACTTCAAAATTCCAGCTCGACGCCCTTACGACTGGACCTTACACTCTCTCCTTACTTTAAATGATGATAAATTTATGATAACTAATCTTTTTTCCACCTTCGCAAACGGTTCTAGTACTTAAATAAATACCGTTCCAAGTAAGTATTGGTAGAGTTTTAAAACATTCTGAAATCACCGATAATGTGACACTGAAATCCTCTCGAGAGTCAGTTGTTTAATTCGCAGCTGGCTTTAAGCTAGAAAGAGACAAAGTGAACTCGGCTTCTTCCGATGATTGCTCAAATTACACGACTGTATGATATTGCACGAATGTGCAAACATAGGAGTAAATGATTTGTAATCAAAACTATGATAAGTAAAGGAGCATTGAACAAGATTCAAACTCGTATTCCTCTAGTTTTCGATAAGATTTATTACGTGTATTCTTTACGTTTGAAAATCTCAAGTTTCACTGCTACGTATTAACTTGGTTGAGGATTATTCTCTAATCAAATAATGTGTGAAAACATGTGCAAGAGTTAGTGTCGACTTAGCGTACTTGCACCATCTGTATTTCTTCTTCCTGCTTCTGTTAAAAGAGCTAGCTAAGATCTACTTCGTTCCTGTCCATACTTATACATTGCCAATATCCATACGTTTGCTTGCGCTAATCTTCGTAACAATATTTGACGTGTAATATGCAATATTGACATTGTCTCCTATCTGTGCATAACCTCGATGTGACCTCGCGAAATGTCTCAATCGTGAACCGTGCAATTAAATGTTGAATCCAAATTAAATCAGTTTTCCTTTTTATTTACTTATTTTTTTTTTCAGGTTTTCTACTTCCGTATGTATGTTGGCATTGTAATACTGGGTGCTCTGCACGGGCTGTTCTTCCTTCCTGTTTTGTTAAGTTACGTTGGCCCAGCTCCCAGAAAAGTTCCTCCCACAACGACTTCGTCGGATCACACCTCGGCCGTTTCCGAGCGCACGCCGCTAATTAAGGCGTAACTAAGCGCTAGTGTAAAATAAATTCTAACCGTAACTTTAACCTCTCTCCGCTCAGGTATTCTACTTTCGCATGTATCTCGGCGTTGTTTTGATCGGCGCGCTACATGGCCTCGTATTTCTTCCTGTGTTTCTGAGTTACGTGGGCCCGATGTCTTCGAAGTCAGTGATGGTGTTGGAATGCGAGTCGTCGTTAAGGCCTCATTTCTTAGAGGGCACAGCGGATGATGAGAGGAAACCTTTACTCTACTCTGATCGCGGTACAATCCAGTGATCTTGGACTGCCAAATTTGCAATTTTCATTGCACTTGATATTTTTGTCTTCATATGGCATATCCTAAACCCCATTATAATAACGCAAAATTAATTTAAGAATAAGAAAAAATGGCAAATTAACAGTGATCCGAAAGCCTTGAAGCTTTTGAAAGCTGTTTTATGCGAGTGCTGTTTTTTGCACTTGATGGGAAAACTGAATAAAGTTCGTAGCCCTTTACATCTTGCTGTTTCTGTTTCCATGAACTAACTTAAAAGATGTTCGCACTCAAGGAAAGGAACAAATCTTTTGGCGCAGTTCGCCTACTTTCCTTTTGTCCACTGGTGTCATTTGTAAAAATCAGCATATACCATTTTTTAAGGATCACGAGAATCTCGCTCTTACAGCCCCACCCCCGTTCTCGTTACTTTCTAGCGCCGCCAAGAGCATGAACGGAGGAAGAAGTCTGTGAAAGAAGTTGAGTTGGTCAGCGGTCATAGACAACGTATCCAAAGCAACACAGTAGTTAGATGTCTGGCGTGCGCAAGGGTATCATTTCTAGCCGGTCGTGCACCTATTTCCCATACAAAATTCCCTAAGAAAACATAAGAAACAACCGCTATCTCGCCAAACAGGCGAAAGAAAATTGAAGTGTTCACAGAAATCTATCGAACGAAATTGAATGACAGGTAGGGAAAACTCCAAGCCACGCGGACACTCTTTTGAACTTTCAAATTTCAAGGCGTGTATATAAAGTAAATTGGAGGGAAATGATACACAATTTTTGACAGAGGGAAAACTCGAAACCGTGCGATCATAGTCTTACTAAAGTTTCAGATTTCAAAGCTTGTATTTAAAGTAACCAATCAAATAATAGGAAAACGATCAACAGCTTTGGCAGCTTATAACAAACCAGCTCAATACTGGATCTTTAAAATATTTGTATACTTGTCGTTTAGAAGCTGACGAAGCTCGGCAATGATCGCCTTTTTGGTGGTTATCTCAAACTATGATTTACAGTCGTTTTAGATCTTTCTACGCGTCATTGAGTTTCATGAGGCATCTCTGCTTCAACATGGGAGGATTGCGCAGTAACTGTGCTCTCATCATGCCCCTCTGTCCTAGATACGCTCTTTCTCCAAGGATTCTTCCTTAGCTTCTTTTTTCTTGGTTTTTGTTCTCCCTTGAAAAAAATTATTGGAAGTGCCATCTTCTAAAACCATTTTAAATTTCAAATTTTGCATGTCACCAAACTACTCTTGGTCGGCCTCCTCAGTTTTATGGAAATTTCAGTTCAGTTGTCACAGGCTGCCTTTAGTTCAGTTTGGATTGTAGGCTTTGAAATCATTTTTTCAGACGCGGAACCGCAAAGACCGGTCCTCTTACGCCTGTCTGGATCTGTAAAGTACCTCTTGCAGAGGACGCTTTCCAAAAACCGATTATAAGACATCATCTTGCAGCGAAATACTCGCTCGCCTCTTGGGTCCGATCAGAATTTCAAGGAATTATGATTAGACACCATTTCTATCATGTAAAGAGAAAACTAAGCACGTCGCTTTACATTCTAGGGAACGGCTGTCAATGTAACTGGCAGCTATCTATGAAATCCAAAAAATATCGAATTTTATGTCTTAGTAAACCTATTTAAGAAAATGGTCAGGAGTTACTAGAGAAAAAGATAAGATATGGCCCATGCTGTTTACTGCTCTGCTCCATGTTGGAGTAGAAATATAATTTTTATACAGCTAGTCATGATAATTTAAGACACCTCTTAAAAAAACACGTTTGAATCAGTTCGAGCTAGATATCAAAGATCAAAACACTTCAAAATTCTTCAAGCTCGTAAGAGCAGTTCATACAAGCGACAAGTCAATGAAAATTCTTTACGACTCTTGCTGAATTATATTTAACTTTGGTTGTTTTTTTTGGTTCTCCCTGCTTTGAAAAGACGACTTTTGACAAAAGATTTCAACGGCAGCTAACTGGTTTCTTCTCCACACAACGCATGTAGGTAATTGTTTAGTTCTTCGGGTCTGTTCCCTCTCTGACACAGTTCCAATGCTTACTGCCTAACTATAAAAAAACCAACAAAAAAAAATTTAGGGAGGAATTAACGTTGATACTTCCTTGGCTTAACAATAAGAAAGGATTCAACGCAAAACGGAATTTTTGAAGGATATCTTGTTTTCATTGCTATCATATTTTCTAAGGAATAAAGTTATCAGAACAAACGTCACTACTCAATTGAATTCCAACTCAATTTGCTAGAACAAAAATTGTTCGACAAAAGATATTCTTAACCCACAAAATAAAGACATGAGCATCAATACTTGCTCATAAAAGCATAATAAAAGTTACAAACAGAGTAATTACCAGGTTCAGCATCTGAATTTCCTTGAAATCCAGCCTGACGTCTTCCCCAATGAGTACAAATGGTGCCCAGTACTTGACCTCCTTGAAGTTTTCAATTTCTCTCATACACTTCATGGCCTGATTAAGAGCTTCACTTGTCTTCTTGCCTTTAGCAAGTGCATCGTAGAAGAAACTCATAAACTCTAAGGTACCCTCGTCGTCAATCGCCCACAGGGCTGCCACAACAGATCTAGCACCAGCACTTAGAAATGCTCGAGCAATACTGACCACACCGTCGGCCATGATCTTCCCCTGAGCGCTGTGACAACAGCTCAGTACAACCAGTCGTGCCTGTAACCCAGCTTCTACGACATCTTTCATTGTCATCAAGTGGTCTTTCTCTGGAGGTTGAGGGTTTTCTCTCGTGGCCTTTGGTGTCAGGTAACTTCTTCGGTTTCCATTTTTCTATGCGCTACAATGTGTACTAAGGCCACCGATGCGAGCCGTTTTAAAACTTTATCTTTTGTTGCCATTTTTCCAGTGAGGGGGGAGATATTGAGGATGCGTCCGATCATCTCCACTTCTCTCCTTGGTCCCGGAAGTTGCACCAACCGTTTTCCCTGGTAGATGATATCTTTGAAACACGGGTCACCAAAAAGAAATGCGCAACTCTTCATGTGAAAGTCAGCTGGGCAATCATTCATTTGTTGTAAGGTCGTCAGGGACGGAAGCATCCGAATTCTGAAAGAATCACACAGACATCTTCTCATCGAATCCTCCAATGCTGCATAAGGCACAAGGTAAAACGGTCCCTCAGGAACAAATGTAAGCTGGTCACCATCGATCATTTCAGCAATAGGAGTAATAGTGATGTCATAAAGCTTCTGTAGAGCACTTGATTGGGAGTATCTCACATCAATTCGAGCCATATCGCTCGCGGCTACCTCCACTGAGTTAGCGAGTCAAGTGAAGGATTTTCGCGTGTAGCAGCATCTCTTCTGAAAATATCCTGAAGGGAAATTTTGTTCAGTGGCTGGATAAAAACTTCCAATTCATCTTCATACTTATAATTGTTCACGTGTACCTTTCTCATCTGGATATTATCTTCACTGACGAAAACCCAGAAGTAAACGTAAGGTCCACTAATAGCTATAAAGACTGTGCTTGATGGAACACAACTCAGGGAAAGGCACAAACTGCTGCTACTTGAAGAATCTAGCGGCTGATATTTTGTGTCCATGAGATCTCTCAAGGCTTGGGCACGTCCTTTTTCTGCGGCAAGAAGAGCATTTACAACTTCACCTTGATTTAGATTTATACGCCACAAACCTTTGTATGCGTCTTGGTGCTGATTACAATAAGAAATCTTCCACTGATCGTTGAATTGAAGACTGGCCCTGATCTCATCATACAACTCTACACTCGACTGAAAGCAGAGAAAGGCCCTCACAAGATTTCCATGGCACTCGAAACTTTTTCCAAGAGAACAGAGTGAGCATGCCTCTCCAGTACTTTCCCCAACTTCTTTGGACATCTCTAAGTGACGTTGGAAACAGTCAATTGCTGTTTTAACCATTCCTTGACCGCGATGAATATTGCCGTGCAGACAGTAACTTCTTCCCTCCCCTGCTTTGTTTCCCACCTTTTTTGCGATTCTTAGATGACGTTGCTGGTACTCTAATGCTGTTTCAAGCGTTGCCGAGATTCCCATAACTGACTCCCTCTCCGGCCTTGTCTGCCACTTCTTTAGCTATTTCTAGATGACGTTGATGGCACTCAATTGCTTGTTTAAACCTTCTCTGACGAATATAAACGTTGCCGAGGTTGCCATGACTTCTTCCCTCTCCGACCTTGTCTCCCACTTCCATAGCAATTTCTAGATGACGTTTATGGTACTCGATTGCTGTTTCGAACTGTCCTAGACGGCGATAGGTGTTGCCGAGATTGATACAAATGACGCCCTCTCCAGCCTTGTCTCCCACTTCTTTAGCAATCTCTAGATGACGTTGATGATGCTCGATTGCTGTTTTGAACTGTCCTAGGCTATTATAAGCACAGCCTAGACTGGTATAGCTTCTTCCCTCCCCGGCCTTGTCTCCCACTTCTTTAGCAATTTCTAGAAGACGTTTATGGTACTCGATTGCTTTCTTGAACTGTCCTTGACCATCAAAAGCGATACAGAGATTGCCATAAGCTGCGGCCTTGTCTCCCACCTCCTTAGCAATTTCTAGAGAACGTTGATGGTACTCGATTGCTGTTTCAAGCTGTCCTAGACCTTGATAAGCACAGCCGAGATTGCCATGACTGAGTCCCTCTCCGGCCTTGTCTCCCACTTCTTTCAGAATTTCTAGATGACGTTGATGGTACTCGATTGTTGTTTTAAACTGTCCTAGACTGCGATAAGCGTCACCGAGACTACCGTAACCTCTTCCCTCTCCGGCCTGGTCTTCCACTTCTTTAGCGACTTCTAAATGGCGTTGATAGTATTCGACTGCTGTTTTGAACTTTCCTAGACCTTGATATGCTTTGCCGAGACTAGCATAGCTTCATCCCTCTCCGGCCTTGTCTCCCACTTCTTTAGCAATTTCGAGATGACGTTGATGGTACTCGATTGCTGTTTTGAACTGTCCTTGACTCTCAAAAGCATTGCCGAGATTGGCATAACTGGCTCCCTCTCCGGCCTTGTCTCCCACTTCTTTAGACATTTCTAGATCACGTTGATGGTACTTNCACTCCCGCCCTATCTCCCACTTCTTTAGCAATTTCTAGACAACGTTGATGGTACTCTATTGCTGTTTTGACTAGTCCTTGGCTATAATAAGCGTTGCCGCGATTGCCATAACTTCTTCCCTCTCCGGCCTTGTCTCCCACTTCTTTAGCGATTTGGAGATCACGTTGTTGGTAGCCAATTGCTGTTTTGAACTTTACTTGACAAAGAAAAGCGATGCCTAGATTACCATAACTTCTTCCCTCTCCGGCCTTGTCTCCCACTTCCTTGGCAATTTCTAGATGACTTTGATGGTACTCGATTGCTGTTTTGAACTGTCCTAGACCTTGATAAGCACAGCCGAGATTTCCATAACTGATTCCCTCTCCGGCCTTGTCTCGCAATTCTTTAGCTATCTCTAGATGACGTTGATGGTACTCGATTGCTGTTTGGAACTGTCCTAGACCTTTATTAGCACAGCCGAGAGTGACATAGCTGTTTGCCATAGCTTTCAGTTTAGCACTAGACTTGCGTAGTAAATGAAGCAGACGTGTGTTTTTGTTGTCAAACTTAAAACGCGTCAAGGATAGATAAATCATTAGTGGATGTGCGAAAGTGTGATGGAAATGTCTACTTTAACTATCATTTCTGATTTATTAGAATATATGATAGAGCCATCAAAATAGAATCGTAAACGAAATGGGGTTTTTTGCAGAGATCGGATTTTATTAGAGTGAGCTAACTAGCTTTCAAGCGCAATTATATTTTTAGTTTCGGGTGCCAACTTATTGCTTGTCTAGAGGCACAAATGAGAGGCTTTCAGCTTAGACTATGCGTATTCGATATTTTACGGTTTCTTCTTTTATGTTTATTTCCATGGAATAATCGAAAGGACTATTTTAGAATGTTCTAGCTTTTTACAACCGCTGAGTACGTTATAAGCCTAGGTGAACATCGACCACTTGTATTATAGGTAGAAGAACGGGATCGGAACGTACTTATTTTTCTAAAAATATTACATCACCAGAAATCGGGGACATTTCGGGCACGTTACGAAATGTCAGCGGTATGTCGTATTCCACACAATTTAATATGACGGCGGTTGAAGTGAAGTGAATACATAACTTTCTCTTTTCGTAAAAACGCCACGAGAGAAAGGCCTGGAACTTTTCTATCCCAGAAAGCCAAAGGAGACGTCAAAGACAAAGAAAATGGTGGGCAAATTGTGCAGTTTCTGGGAGTTGTATTTTTCGTGATCTTCCTTCCTAAAATTGGGGTATTTAAAAATGGCGTATTTGGCTTTTGAGTCCTATGAAAATACAAAGAGTTTCCCGGCTCGAGGAAAACTTGTGGGCCAACATATACGACTGTTTACGAGCGATTTAGTTGAGCAAACTTCTGCAGAATGCATATCGAACTACGCAGTTGCGAATCTTCACAAGATTGTTCCCACGACAAAAGAATTGTAACACCTAGTCGAAGCAGATTTTAAGAGTTTGTGTGGGAAAATGGAGTCAGAACTYTGAGTTTACTCGTATACCTTGGGAAAAGGTAGGCTTGAATTTCAGTATTTCTTTTTCATAGCGATTGACTCTTTAACCGATGCAGGCTGCATTTCCAAGTACGCAGCGAAAGAATATCCCATTCTTTGACAGCTATTTTGAAAAGACAATCTTTTCCTATGCATTTTCTTATACTGTTTCGTTGCCATTTTGCTTGTAACACGAGAGCCGCCTCCACCACATTGTCCCAAATTTCTGGCAATGACTCGCATTGCTTCTCGTATCACGTTTATTTGAATAATTTGTCACAGGATACGGCCAATGCCATATGTAACCAGCTTCTTGCTTCTCTATATAGGCAAAGCTTGACACAAGCACTGGCTCCTGAAAAGAAGGCAATAATTGATCATGATGGTCCAAAGTCATTATAAAACGTATGCAGCAAATTGACTTAATTTGTCATTTAGCTGGGAAGAAATTATGATCATGAAGACAATTTTTAAAGTGGAAGAACTGAATATGGGGAACAAAAAGTTAGTGCAAAGCAGCTACCAATGTAGGTTCAATTGAAAGCTTAGTGACCTTTACTTGTGATTTTTACACACGTAGCAGACATTGACACACAATATATCATGGACATATGTGGTGGTTGACCCGCCGAAATCCTAACGATTTCCTTTGGACAAAATTACAGAAAAGGTTTTGATGACTTGTGGCCGAAAACCTACCCTTCTTAATGGCTTTGATTAAAGTGGGTTCCAATCGAACAGCAATTGTTGCATCATCGAGACACTCCAGGTAGTTTCCTATGGAATTCAGGAAATAAGTTGTAGGCAGTCATTATATGCAATTATAGAAGAGGTCCGAAAAAATTTGCGATAGCTTAAAAATCTATTTTAAAATTGTGATCAGATTTTCTTACGAAAAAAAAAATTGAAACACTAGCCTCGCTCCCAATGCGTGGCCTGGTATCTCTAGTGGTAGTGGCGCCCAGCTAGTACCTTAAATGCATGGTTTCGGCTTCTTTTATGCAATTTCTCAAATTGTGATTCACTTGCCAGAATCATGTCTTTGCTTGGAGCAGATTGTGTGTACTGTTATCCAACGTTGCATGAAAAATATAGAAGTTTGAAGAAGAAATTCTTACCCAAATGGAAATAACCTGCTGCCCTGTTGCTATAATTATAAAGATTGATGTTCAGCCGTTTATCCCTGCAGTTCACTTGAAGTCCATCAGTGTAGGAGTCTACCGCGTTCTTAGCCTCTCCTTGTCTGGATTCTTTGTTACCTTTCTCAAGACATACTTTCGCCATCTCTGAAAAACACTCCGATTTAGTTTGATGATGTAATACAAGTAATGAGTATAAGCATCCTTGACAGATAATGCCAAGTGTATACTTATAATAATAGTTAAGACGTAGCGCGCTGTCATTGGTTAATAGAGCGAGCTCTATCGGAGATAAAGCTGCCATGCCATCTGCCAATTTGTACTATGACCGAACACTAGCCGGACCTCTTTTTTTCGTTAATTATAAAAACAAGCGAGCCGGCAAGTAGCAACAGAAGAATCAAACAAAGGTTTGTAAACATTCCAAACGTCGTGATTTACAGGTGCTGCACATTATTATAACGTGAGCAGAGACGAAAATCCTCAATGAGTAAACGAAATGGACAGTCTGCCGGTGTATAGAAGGCTTTCACGCTGTAGTTGGTTAGAAAATTTAAAATCAAACAAAGCTAAAACCTGTATAATATGTATAGTTTCGTGTTCAAAACAAAGCAGAACAAGATAGGAGTGATGGAAAATATAACCAAACTGGCATAACTATTAAAATTCATACAAATCATGATCAGAGCGACTGCGAGCATGGAGTTTACATGGAGAAAAAGTTCCGTCGCGCTTTTTTTTTCTCCGAAAAATTGAAAAGTTCAACATACTCCTAGATGGCCCTTGTCCTCTCTGTAAAGCAATGAAAAATTATGCAACTTCGGCAACTTCGCACACCAGAACGCGATGCAATCCCGCTTTCAAATTTTGTATGCTAGCAGATGGTCCACGCATTACATTTTTTGTCATTTTAGCCCGAACTCTTTTAAAGCTGGACGCACCGGCTATGGCGGGCCAAGAAAACAACTTTGAGGAATTAAACTACAAGGATAAAGCTTTACGATGATGTCTATTTTGATTTGAAAATATATCACACCAGACCTTATAGAAGTATTTAAATGTGTCGAGACAGCAGTTCAGCGGTTCGCATAGCATTTTTTGACAAAATAGCCCAAACTCTTTTAACCCTGGACGCGCCACTTAAAGCGGGCCAAGGTAGAGAATTGGAGGAATTGAAA